TCTTTTTTTACATTCTTCAATTCAATTTCAACTTAAATTGATATATTCTAATAACTATTCATTAATAAATTAAAAATAAATTATTAAAAAAATTATTAAATCCACCATCTTCTTTTTTTACATTCTTCAATTCAATTTCAACTTAAATTGATATATTCTAATAACTATTCATTAATAAATTAAAAATAAATTATTAAAAAAATTATTAAATCCACCATCTTCTTTTTTTACATTCTTCAATTCAATTTCAACTTAAATTGATATATTCTAATAACTATTCATTAATAAATTAAAAATAAATTATTAAAAAAATTATTAAATCCACCATCTTCTTTTTTTACATTCTTCAATTCAATTTCAACTTAAATTGATATATTCTAATAACTATTCATTAATAAATTAAAAATAAATTATTAAAAAAATTATTAAATCCACCATCTTCTTTTTTTACATTCTTCAATTCAATTTCAACTTAAATTGATATATTCTAATAACTATTCATTAATAAATTAAAAATAAATTATTAAAAAAATTATTAAATCCACCATCTTCTTTTTTTACATTCTTCAATTCAATTTCAACTTAAATTGATATATTCTAATAACTATTCATTAATAAATTAAAAATAAATTATTAAAAAAATTATTAAATCCACCATCTTCTTTTTTTACATTCTTCAATTCAATTTCAACTTAAATTGATATATTCTAATAACTATTCATTAATAAATTAAAAATAAATTATTAAAAAAATTATTAAATCCACCATCTTCTTTTTTTACATTCTTCAATTCAATTTCAACTTAAATTGATATATTCTAATAACTATTCATTAATAAATTAAAAATAAATTATTAAAAAAATTATTAAATCCACCATCTTCTTTTTTTACATTCTTCAATTCAATTTCAACTTAAATTGATATATTCTAATAACTATTCATTAATAAATTAAAAATAAATTATTAAAAAAATTATTAAATCCACCATCTTCTTTTTTTACATTCTTCAATTCAATTTCAACTTAAATTGATATATTCTAATAACTATTCATTAATAAATTAAAAATAAATTATTAAAAAAATTATTAAATCCACCATCTTCTTTTTTTACATTCTTCAATTCAATTTCAACTTAAATTGATATATTCTAATAACTATTCATTAATAAATTAAAAATAAATTATTAACTATGGTTGAAACCTTTCTCTCACTATCTAAATTCTACTTAATTAATAAATTCTTTCTATGCAATTTATGTCCACGCAATGCACGTGGCAGATGCATGAAAATAATTAAAATAATTGCAGGGGGAATTACTTGATGCAAGGAATTTATACATTTTAATCACGTTCGTGACCAACTTTATGTTCCGCCAACAAGTCATAAAGAAGCGAAAGTGTCCTTTGTCGGTCGCGTGCCTCAAATTCTGTAAACCATTATTGCATCTCTAATAAGTTTCTAATTTTTTAGATACTTTTGCTTTCCCTCAAAGAGAGAGAGAATGTAGTTTCAATTTTTTTTTTAACCGCCTCTTATATTGGCTCAGACCAAGAGGTATTTTTTTCTATTTACCACAAAACATGCAAATGGCATTGTGCTCGCTAGACAATTTCTCTTTTACCAATATCGGTTTTCTCCGACCAGAGAAAAAGAACGATTATTGTCAAAGTTCTCCAAAATCCGGAACAAGTGAAAACAGCGGCTGACTCCATTCCAGGATTCCCCTTTTGGGATGAAAAACCTGAAGAGGACGCCGAGTTTCTCCGGTTCACCGGTTATTCCCAACAATTATCAGACCTGTTCTCCAGAACGTTCGTCGATCATCGTAAACAATCGCAAAAATCGATAAACCATTTACAAATTTGTTGAACTATATTAGGTCAATGCAGAAACATTAGCCTCATTCAAACTGACACACAATCATTTTATAATAAAAATGTTTTATCTAGTCATTCCTGGTTTCTATTATTCTTCTTAAATCAGACACAAACATTATATAACAAAAATGTTTTATCTAGTCATCCTTGGTTTCTATTATTTTTCTTTACAAACAGNCAGAATGGAATTGAGACACGTTGAGATGAAACTGATATTCTAAATTAGAATTTGTTTAAAAAATGGTCAGCTTGCTTTTAATAGGACTCGGTGCACGACTCTCACTGGTTTTTCTTTTGCTAGCTGCAAGAATGCGGCGCTCATCTTTTCCCGTTTCGCCTTTCATCTCGCTCGAATGGTACAGGAGAAAGGGAGACCAGCGATGGTACCGTAACGTCCACCTTTCTCTCATCTCAACTGGCCAGCTACATTATTTTCAGGCTCTACTCCACTTAAACAAATTTATATCTTATTTGCCATCCTCTTCATGGACATGGAAGATTAGGTTTAAATCAATACAGGAAATAGCCTTCGAGTTAGGAATTATTCTTTTGCATTTCTTCTTCTAAATATGT